TGTGGTGTAAGGGTGTGGTGTGTGGGTGTGGTGTGTGAGTGTGGTGTGTGTGTTTTTTAACAATTATGCATATGAGTCTGACCTAAGATATGCTCCATGTAAACCTCTTCTCAGCCATACCAACTTCCTTTAAACCACCCACCATTCACCATTGGCTAAGACTTGAGTACAATTTGAATTGAAATCATTAGGGGGCAACCCCATCTTAAATTCCCCATCCAATGAAAGTATTGCAGCCCAGGGCATTTTCTTCTGTAGATATTGGCACGACTGCTGAAGAAATAAAAGTGCACCAACATCACTCCTATTTGCAAAACATGGAAAAAGCTGTTCGAAGCAGGAGACCATGAATGTTAACAATGTGCTTCCAGGTTTCCTACAGTTCTTACAGCTAATCCAGTTCACGAATGGTTTTGAAACCGTTTTGTAACTTTTTATTTTACTTGGCATTTTCATTGATACCATATAATTCAACAAGAAAATATTACCAGTGAATAGGAGCATTTTATATAGTAGGGCAAACCTGGTCAGTAATTTTACCAAGAAAGAATAATATTCACAAAATAAAATGAAAAAGTGGCTTCATTGCTTAAGTGGCAGTAATATTTATTGCCAATTCCACAATTATTGTAAGGGTAAGTGTTAATTGTCACAATATTAAAGTTCTTCACTTATGTCATAAGAATCAATCACTAAAAGCACCTTGATTTGAATCATCCCTTGAAAATTAATGTAGAGAACGTATGTAACAGTATTATATTCATAATGCGTTGTACAATTTAACATTATGCAAAATAGTGGGTTTGTGATAATCAAGGTGATTTAAAGATAAGCATATACCACAGATAAAACATTTTCCATCTAGATCATAACTAATATATTTTCTATTTAGTTCAATACTTTATTATTAAATAAATCTTGAAAAATTTCCTATAACCAGATGTTTTGACAGCAAATTGCAATATGCGAGGAAAGATCATGAAACTTTCTTATTCAAAGGAACACCATCATAAGTGATATAACAAAATAATTGGGGAATTTGTTTTTATGTGAACATCAAATTTGTAATATTAGCCTATGTGAATCTTACTGGATACTAAACTAAATTTCAAGAAAAATGTAGTACTTCTGAACAATGAAGCAATAAAAAGGTAAATATAATGTGCGAATAAAGAAACGTGTAAAGACCAGTAATGGAATTAATGTTCAAACCGATTGTGGTTCAAAATATAGATTTTTGATATAGTGTTTCTTGCAGCAAACAATGATGTACTGAAACTGCAAAGAAATTTCAAAATTGGGATTAGAGCAGTGCTAAATAAATGCTGGAGTGAAGATGTTCAAGCAGCAGCATTTTTTACATATCCAGAAAGAAATTCAAAGAGATGTTATAACTCTGACTTAGAAAATGTTTTGCTGACAGAGAATGACATTTTTACTAAGAAATAATGATATAAATTACTATAGTACTGTATAGACTACTGTAGAGAATTGTGTGAATAAAGTTGTAAGGTCATAATCGTTAATTTTTAATTTTGCAGAAGTCTCTATCAAAAGTGGTATTTTTCATTTACAGGTTTCCAATTGTCTTGCTAAATAAAATTCTATTATTTTCCCTTTCTCTATTGTGTTGATCATTTGACTGTAGTTAAATAAAACCGAATACAAAATTTTTAGATGAGAATACATGCTAAACCATCAAATGTAAAATCATATTTATGATTGATTGTATGAATTGTTTATCAAAGTGAAACAAAATTTTGAATGCTGAAGAGCATTGTGAACATTGTGGAGTAATATCTGCACCATTTAATTTTCAGTTAACAACTTTAACATTGAAATAGACAATTATTTGTAGCAGGGCTGTCCAACTTAGAAGGGCTTATGGGTCACATATCATATTCTAGTTAAGCCACAGGCCTCACTATAATTTTAAAACAGTTTTTAGTGATTATACTGAAACAAATATATATTAGATACGACTTTTATTCAACATAATGATTAATATACATATGAATTACTATTACATTTACCTAATTATAAAAATGCATAATAGAATAACTAAAAAATGTATTTGGTTGGTATAATAAAATTTTTTGAAGCTGTTGCTGGCTACACAAAAAGATCCCGCAGGCCACCAGTTGGAAAGCCCTGAGCTACAGGTATGATCACAATGCATAAGTGATTTTAATAGCATTATTAATTTTGTAATTGAAAGTATTTAAATTCATATATGAACATTCATCACCAAATGATTTATGACAATGTTATTTTTACAGTAATTATCATGATTGTTTGATTTCAACATTTTCTATCTTAAATTTTACAATTGAATGTAACTGTTGAACAGTAAATGTATATGTTTATATGACATATCAACAAATGAGATTTTCTATTATGTATATACACTTCAAAACAATTTTGGAACAATGATTCCAAAACTGTTCTGTGAGGCATGAGGTGTTTTTTATGTAGGTAATATGAAATCTTCAAGTGGCAATATGTTGACGGAATTTATGATTTTCCTATTTGTCTTCAATGAAATTGCAGAAATACAGTATACTGAAGGCAGCTTCCAAAACACACCTCTCAATGCCAGCCCCTAGGAAGTTTTCTATGGGTTATTTAAACATTTGACATTACCATAAAATTCATTTGATAACCGATTCCTCTCAAATTCAATGACATTTAAAACAGCACTGTTGGAGATAGCAGTTAAACAATTTTCCATTAAGCTGAAAATATTTGTTTAAGAAAGGTATCAGTATATTTTTTTACTGTAATGATGAACAGGCATATTGAAATGAAGTAACATCAAGGTGAACTCTCTAGTTACGTCGTTAGGAAGATTTATGCACGATTCTTTTAATTCAATATGAAATAAGCTAGTGAAATAAGAAAATAAAATATGAATTATTTGCAATACGAAATCATAATTATTCAATTTTTCTGGCCTAATATATTTAAATGAGCATACCAGCACACTTATAACTTTGTTTTATCCTGAACCTTTATATTAATGCAGAGTTGACATATTGCACGAGCTACAATTTAATTTTAGGGACAGTAAGGTATATCAGTGTTAAATTTCAACAATTTGTGCTAGGTTTAATATCTGAAGGTGCTGCAAGTAAGATCGAATAATGGGGTCCTCTCATAATAGCAAACACACACAATTAAAATAATAAATTTTGCAATTGTTCAATACGAGCTTATCAAAAACTTTCACACAGAGAATGTGCCACCATTGCCACAACTACTTATGCAGAAGACAGTGCACAGGTAGTATGTGTGCAAGACATAACTGTCTGTTTACTCCCCTTACCAATTTCATTAATACAATACCCAGAGGCTGCTTTTTCAAAGTTAAGGTACTGCTATTAGCAAAGAGGAAAGATATTCGGCAGTATCCATTCAGAAACTAACAGCAATACCGATAATTTCAACTAAATATGCGATGTTGGTGCTAATTTATGGGGTGTGAATTAGGCAAATAGACAATGAATGGAGCAAATTTGGGATAATGTTTCTGTACCCTAGCTGAACATTTTACACTTTTCTCTGTGTTGTTACCATAATTTGAACAAATAAATTTAAAAGACATTAGATTGGAGATGAAAATCTCACATTCGGCAATTTTCAAATCACAATAAGCAAAATAAATAATTAAAAAACTAGGGACAATTTAAAACAAAATAATATTAGCAATATGAAAGCTTATTTGGTAATAGTTTTCCAGAGAAAAAAGTAAAATAGTTTTAAAGATTCTTTATCCTTTTCCAAAAATATTATAAATGACCCATGACCCCACTTTCTGTTGTAAAAGGAATGAATATTCATTAAAGTTCTGCATGGCCAAAATATCCACAACCAATCAAGCATAAAACTTCTATTTTCTTCCAAATCTTATGCACTTTGGTCAATATTTAATACCTGATAGAAGAGATATACCACATTTTCATATTCATTTTCACTAAATCATTATTTCACAAGTATCTATAAAATAAATCCTAAAAATAATGCACCTCTAATCAATCAACATGTGTTAAAATTAAAATAAATCGTACTTACAAGATTTGGAGAACCAAAAGAAGAGACATTGAAAGATGGCCTTCTTCTACTGAGTGACGGATTAATTGAAGGACTAAGCTTGTGCGTTGCAGAAGGAAAAAGAGAATAAGATGATAGATGGTTGGCTGAAACATAACATTCTCATTAATGCTTTGCACAATTTAAAGTCACAAAGATAAACGCAACTTTTGGAACTACTTACACAATTTGTTATCCACTGAGGAACGATGTGCAGCAGTGGTACTGCTAGAAGGAGCTCTTTGTGGAGCCAGTGATGAACAGCCACTGGTTGACTCACTACTGTCAGATCCCCCATCGCCTTAAATAAGTTCACATACATTAAACAAGCTCCCATGACTTTGAAATTAAATCTCATATTTGAACGGACTTACCATTGATTTTCCCATCCAAACCTTCCACAGCAGTACTGGTAGACTGAAATGGACCTGATGCTATAGGTGTCCTACTAAGACCACTGGGACCAGCAACGGCAGAATCCGAGAACACATTAGGAATAGGACTGGCAACCGATTCACTTGGCCAAGGATGAGTTTCACCTGCATCAAAGAAATAACTCTCATCCTCAAACTGATTAACAATATTATAACACAGAGTGGACTAACATAAGGATTAGAACACAAGAAACTGCCAATACTTTTCTTCCTGGTTTACATCTTTTCAATCTTAAGCGATAAAAAAAGAGTATGCCATGTTGTGATGAAGGGGATCATTTTTTTAAAATTATTTGCAATAAATGCAAGAGTATAGGGAATTTCCTCATCAAAACTAAAACCTTTAAATAAGAGTATTCCAAATACAGCTGTGCAATACTATATGTTATTCAAGTACATACCAAATATTTGGTGTTACATTTTCTTTATCTACTCTGTTATAGAACTTTATTCCACAAAAAGATATTTCAAGACATTCAAGAAATTAAAAGTTTACAAATGCTATAATGTACCATTTGTAACAATGAGACTAGTGAAAATGTATTTATTCTATATCCATTGTTGTATTCTATATATTATATGACAAACGTTGCAAGTTAAGAGCACGACCACAGTAAGAATAACCATCACTGGAAATATTACACAAAATAGTGCTAAATTATTTTTTAAAAAAAGCAAGTTTCCGTAATACGTAAGTTGACATCTTAAACCCTTTATTACACACATCACGTCAAACCAAAATTGACATAGAAACTTTCATTGCATATGATTTCAAGTTCATCAGTAGAATGATGTAATTAAATCATCACGAATTTAACTACACTTGTTTTTGCAAAAATAAAATAACCAAGAATACAAAATATTTTATTGGTAGTTTCTACAGTAATGTAAATATTTTCATCATAAATTTCTAATTGCAGATTACTATATAAAAATTGAGACAAATGTGTACATCAGTAGTAATTTGCATTGCAATCAAAACACCAAAAAGTAATCTATTCAAGTACAGCTAGCATGAAGAAGAGCAATTCCACTATTATAATCAAAACAATTTTGGAAATATTTGAATTTTAAAAAACCTAAAATTAATAAATCTACAATACAAGCTTTTATCTTTATTGGTCCTCAAATACTGATTATATATATTATATACTAAATTAAGCATTACAGATTTCATTGAAAAGTAGTAAGTCCTTGAATTTAAACAATGTGAAGATTTGGATTTTAGTACATGATATTGTAAATATTGCATTAAAACTGTTCTCTAACGAAGTTATGTCTATTATTTATTTATTAATGGTGGCAGCAACAAGCTGTTGCACACATCTTACAACGGTGTAATGAAGTAATATAATAAATCACTTTCGTAATATAATTAAATCACAATTATAAATCACAGATAGTACAAGTATATCTTTTCTTTCCTATACAGTGTGCGAGATGTGAATTCCATGGATTTACTACTCGGTTTACAATAAAATGAGCATGTTGTCTGGTCTTTGTCCTCTCACTAGTTTCATCGTATATCCTCCAAGTCTAGATTCCATGGCTTTAGTAAAGAAATTGTTAGTCAGGAACATTATAATATCCATTGAAGATTTGAAAAGTTTCTCTAATATTACTATTTATCCAATTTTCTCAGAACTGATATTTTCTCTGCATCTTCCAACATAATCCAATTGACGTACTTCTCTAGGGATCTTTGTAATTTGCCATCTTATTGAATTAGTATTGTTGCCTTGGTATTATTTATAGAGTAACTTTTGTTAATGGAAATATACCTGTTTAATCTCTGTAATTTTTACTTATTTTCTATTATAGTCCTTGATATTTTATTTTTTGCAAGTCCACAGGAGCTTAGGTTGAAATAATTTTAAAAAATTAATAACAATTAGTAATTTAACACTAATAAAACAAAAAACATGCTATACATAAAGAGTAATACATAGAACTAGACAATTTATAAAACTGCAATTGCTAATCATCACAAATGGTATCAATGGTCAGTCATTTTCAGAAAGAACATTGTATATGATATCTGTAAAATAAGACAGGAGCATTATTATTTAAAAATCAAAACCAAAACTATTTGGCAGAAATTATGACCAATTATGAGTTCATACACAAAATCATTTCAGTAATTGAAACATTTATCTGATCTAATCAATCACTTTGAAGCTTTTCAAACATAGTTAATCCTATAAAATTTTACAAGACACTTCAATTTTGAAAGTATACAAACTAGTAATAATTTCAAAATCCCTTCTAAATGAAAACCAGTGTTCCATAAAACACCACAATGCATGGAATATATATAATTAATATACCAATAAACCTGTCTGAAGCACAAAGCCAGAAATAAGTGAACAAATATAAAGAGCATGGTACAACTTGCATTCAACTATTTATGATTCAGTAATTGCCATACACAAAACTAAAACTATTTCCTTAAACAAACGTGTTTTACAAGACAGATTTAAATTTCCTAACTCACCTCTATCTATAGGAGATGAAACACGAAAACTATTTGCAGGAAAAGAGCGATTCAATGGAATTCTGGCACGTTTAGTAGGTGGTGAATGATGTTCTTCATGATCTTCTACAATATTCGTTGAAGTAGGAGTATCTTCTCCAGATGAAGTGGTCGAGGCAAACCAGCGGCTTAACCAAGACGTTTGAGGTAGCAAACTACTCACACCTGATGTCACCTTTTTAACAAAAGACTGAAACCATACAAAAGCAATTCTAGACTCAATTCAAGATACAATAAACATAAAATTAAAAATAATTTCTAATAAATGATTTCTTTCACTAATATTTCTAAACATTCGACTCTCCTTTATATTCTTACATTGTTTGCACAAATTAAAATTTGTAAAACAAACTAAAACACACTTTTTTCATAAACTTAAGCTGCACCTCAACTAAACTCTCTTACTCATGATCAATACAGCGAACTCTGATCTTGTTGCTTCTAACCTCACATTGATGACAAGTGTTCCGAGTATATTGAGATTAAATATTCACTCGAAGTTATATCAGATTTTTAACAAAAATGTATTAAAATTTCCCCATTTCAAAAATTTCAACTTTCATAACTTCGCAAGACGCCTTTACTCGATGCCCGTAATGGAGACGCGTTCGACAGGGGGTAACTTCAAAGCATGCGGTCTACACAAACACAGACTTCAAAACGCCACACACTATCACTTCTGAAGCATCAAATTACCTACAACAATACAAAATATCACTATTTCAAGGCGTCAATCGTGCTCGTGAATTGAATTTTAGTTTGACCCACTAATGGAGCATAACCTTAAAATACGACACAGGGCGAACTTTACAAGTAGAAACGTACGAAGGCGCCAACATAAAAGACGAAGCCTTTATGGGCTTCAATGAACATTCAAATCGCTCAAGTAGTGTTTGTTGTTTCTAATACTAATGTATATGAAAACTCTCTCTGCCAGAGGTCGTTACTTTTTTGCCCAATCTATTTTCAGCGCAACGCGCGAATATTGTAACAGGCAGATTACTTACATTTGACACATCATACGGCTTCGAAGAATGTGGCTTCTTATTTCTTATATTATTGTTTCCCTTGGCCATGGCTTCGCGCACAAGTACACACACGCTTAAGAATTTAATTCTTCCATTCCGAAATTTACCCTGACAACTCTCGCAGGGGGACAAGAGAATATGGCGGCAGCTGCATTAATTCCCGTTGGCCGCAACGCACACGTGATGCAACTTGCGACCATCGACTCTCTTTCGGAAAACAAATGTGAATCACCTAGCGCATTATCAATTGCGTTTTAAAATAAATATTCTTTGTACGTCTATTTGTAAATATATATTTTAAAATATTTGATCTTGTATTTTGTTTGAAACAGTATGAAAGAAATTTAACATTAGCAAACTTCCTGTGAACAGTTGCCATTAGACTTGACTACTTCATGATGAAGTTGCAATCTACTACTCAGTGAAGTTGCTATCTGTCTTGCGGTTTTATTATTCAAACCCTGAAGACTATACGATTTAAACACTTGTTCACAGTTACCAATGTAAAAAAAAATTGTCGAGCCTCCAATCTCCAGTACTTTTCCGATAAAAAATATGAACCACTTAACTTGGCTGTTTAAGATTTCACGTGCACATAATTTTTTGTGAACAACAATTTCCCATTTTTTTTAAAAACCCTACTTTTTTTAAATTAGTACATGCAAAACATCGCATGCCTGCAATGTGCTTTGCAGGTCTTTGTGATGCTTTGGTAAGGTCTTGCCAGTCCTTAGTCAAACACTCGACCATTTATTACATCAATAGATTAACAATCGCTTGTAAACGTGAAATGAAATTTTAAATAATTACTTGTAAATTGTTAAAAGATAAGCATTGAGTTGTTTTATAAAAACAATATCTACTAACAAATTTAATCTCTGGCATGATTGTTCATTTTCACAAAGTTAATATTAGTTACATAGATCGCTAGCGATCCCTCGTTTTTCCAAGTGGATATACTCAGCAGTAGAATGCCAGCCGTTTGTTAACTGCTCACCAGGGCTCGAACTGCCTTTTTTCTTTGTTATAGGGAGTTTATGCACGCCATAGCTTCAGCACTATCGATCTTCTGCGCATGCGCAAATGCACTAAAATGGAGCGAAACTTAAACTGCGCATGAGTACAAGATCGATAGTGCTTAAACGTTTGAAGTTATACCAACTAATGCGCTATATCGTGCCCTTTTGTCATTATTATCATTGTTATCATTACTATAATTATTATCATTATATCGTTATTATCTGTTCATACGCAGTTTGTTTCGCACCATTTTAGTGCATCTGTGCATGCGCAGAAGATCGATATTGCTGATGCGAAGGTTTGCACAAACTTCTTAGATTTCTCCACTAGTTTCTGTTTCAAACTATGTTCTGGCAATTTGCAACAGCCAGAAAAGTGGTATTTCTGGCCTCGCTGTTCTTATATTCTGATAAAAATTTCCCATAAATTTTCCGATTCTGTGTATAACCGGTCAAACTTGCCAGTTTGTTCCTACGTTACTGAAGGCCTCTGCTTCTTAGTCATTTTTATTAATAATTATAATAATAGGCTTTCGTTGATCACCGCCAGGGAGGTCGGCGTGGTCGGGGGCGTGTGAACATGCCAGTAAACCAAAAATTCTTGTTCAGATGACATCGCCAGTGACTTGCAACAAGGCGGTTACATGTTGCCAGTCCCCACTTGCCAGTTACTGGCGAGTGTAAATCATTCTCAAAAGATCGTGTGTTGGAAAAAGGCGAATTTTCGACCCAAAAATTGCCGAGCTCTGCTAAAGAAAAAGTGAATGGATCTAATTTGCTTAATACAGAAAACCAGAGGTGCTCCAAAAGCACGAATTTTCTTGCGATATTGTCAATGGTTATGTAATATTGTAATATGAAAATTTCCGTCCATTCAACTACCACTTGAATCATATTTAAAGAAACGAAGCGCGAAATATACATTTTTTAAAATTCAAACATATAAATGAAAATAGCTTTCTTGCATTGAATTCAGAGTATTTGAGTAACTGTAGTTATAGGAAGACGCCGAAACAAATTTTGATTTTTTTCATTTTTCGAAAAAATTCTCAAATTTCGCGAAAATTGTACATTCTTTATTTCAAAATGAATATTTAAGAAACAGATTTTATTTAGAGAAAAAATCACCATCTTTAATATTTTAGTTCTAGGAAGGCAACGAACAAATTTTGAATTCTTGCAATTTTCGAATACTAATTTTTCCACAAAAGTGAGGCCTGCACCACTCTCTTAAACGTCCTTTACACTATCGAACAACAAAATTTCATCAAAGAAAATGAAACCATTTTTTTGAAAATGTCCCAGGGGTTTTATTTAAAGTACCCCACAAAATTAGATTATTGATTGCTAATTCACGGGGCCGCGACATCAGATCGATAGAGGAATTTTGGAGAAAATCGGCTGAACCGCTATCGTTGTTGATAGGACAGACGTTTTGCCTTCAATCAGTTTTTCGGTATTAAGGACCCACAAAACATTGATTCTGGCTACACCACGTGTAAGAGGATTTTTTTCTAAATTTAGCATTTGGATTTATCCTCTTTTTTGTTGCCAAGGCCTTATAACTAGTTTTTCTCCCGAAAATTTGCCATTTTTTTAACTCTGCCCCTCATGGCCCTACTTTACGGTGGCACAATGTTACTGTATTTCTCGGTCGTGCTGCTTGATGTCGCATGATCGCGACCGCATGGGTCATGCGATATCTAGCGGCACGACTGAGAAAGTCACGAAATACAGTGACAACGCCACAGTGAAGTAGGATCTTCAGAGGCAAGAGTTTTAAAAACCGCACTATACATAATTTTCTCTGTACCGCGGCAGCGGTAGCGAGAAACTAAAAATCCTCTAACATATGTATCCACGTTTTGTGCATCCTTGATACCGAAAAATCGATTGACAACAATGCGTTTGTCTGGGCACAACGATAGCGCATAAACTGTAGATTTAACGTGTATGTTTTTTCATAGGCGATAGTATTGAAATCTTTTCAACAAACTTTTAGCATCACCCAGGAACGACGTGGTCGTAGTAGTTTTTTGAACCCTTCGGAGTGATTGTTTTAGGTCAGTCCCCTTCGCCTCTTGCCATCAGGGTGCAAGTTAAAAGAAAATTAAACTCTTCACGAATGAAAGCAGCTTACTTGTTAAATCGAATTCTTTAATGAAAAAATGGTTTCCATTTGATAGTTACTTTCCCTGGGGATGCGGTGAGGGTGGGGCTTAACTGTTATAATTAGAAACGTTTTTTTAAAACATGAACAGGTGTTTCTTTATTTTCCCACCCAAAATGTAATTTTTCGAGAATAGGAAAAAAAAAAGATGAGATTTCAGCGCCGTCTACTAGAAATTTTTAAAAAAATGTTTAAGACAAAACTTATCCTTTATGTAAAATTTAAATCTACAATAAAAAATTGAGATTCCTATTTAACATTTCAAAGTTGGCTCCCTCCTCACTCCTAGGGGGCAGAGCAAGGTTTGATTTTAGGTTAGGCAGGTGTAGTGTAGCCCTTGGAGATATTCATTTTTATCTGATACAATTTGTAGTAAGATTTGTATTCTTCAAGTTATTTCGATTTTTCAGGTTAAATGTGTTTTCTTTTATGCAATAAGCAAACTTTAATTTGCGCAGCAATGCCGCAATGCATATATGAAAAGTTCATTGGTGTATGGCGAGAACGTGGCGGCAATAAAATAAAGTGGTTTTATTTACAGTCGACATTGTATTATACGTTTACATTGTATTAGCCATTTAGAAATGATTTGAAACCTATTTCAAAATCTATATTTTTTGTGTTGCGAGGTATGATATGTACTGCGAATTATTCTAAGCTGCCTCTGGCAGATCAGCTGTTACGGTGCTATCCAATCCTCACGTCACTAGGGTGGCGTTCAACCTTCGATTGGACGCCACAGGCAGCTATGGAACATCGCACAATACATATATTCACTGAACGAGAGGTCTCTTATCTGTGCATATTTTAGCATTTCACCAGCAATACATTCCATATTATAGTCTTTCAAAATTTCAACGAATGTAAAACTATATAGTAGAGTGTCGATTATCCGTTTTTCACAAAAAAGTAGGTTCACTTCATGGGTAAACATTTTGCGAGTTGAAAAATAAACAAAGGTTTTCAAAACAAAGGATTTATTTTATATTTCTACATAATAAACACGTTACTATTTCTCGGCTATAGAACGTTCAAGAGTTAATTTTATTATTTTAAATGTTTATTATATTAGATGAGTTTGGCCACAGATACTAGTTTATAAAAAATTGTAATAAAAATACAGAATACCGTGGTTCAACTTTAAAGTTATTTTTACTGCGCTTCGTTTGAGGCGGTGTCAAAATAAAATAAGGCATTAATGAATTAGTTTAATATTACAAATCGTTGAACGTTAGTAATTTAGTTTGACCACCCATAAGCGATAGTGCTAACCTCACCAGCTGCCTACACGCGCAAGTTTTCTGAGGCCCCGGAATCCTTACTCCCACTCCTTTTCCATTATAGTTGGATTCAGAATAAATTATAGCAACGAGCATTGTTGACAAAATCTGATAATATATATATTCGCTCACGTGTATAAACTATTTTGCGTCGCAAAATGAGCAACCAATTTGATATAAGTCCCGTGGCCAACCAAACCCCCACTCATCACGCATCAAGCGAAATAGGAGGCCAAGAAAACGTGTGTGGTCACTTATAGAAAATAATTAATGTATATATCTGGCAATTGCATACGACATGGCAGCTGTAAAGTGTTCTACCCATAGCCTCTGGCCCTGCTAAAGGAGTTCCGGTTGAATTCAATCGTAGTGCAAATTTTGGCGCGAAATTAAAATTAGAGTGTATACATTGGAATTATCTGTAGAAGGCTTTTAATGGAACAACAATCTCTTGCATATCACATAATTTAGTATGGTTTATTTTATTTTGCCTAAAATAAGTAATTTTGATAAATTATCATATTTTAATTACTTATTTTAAAAAAAATTGTTTTACCAAAACTCAAATGGTCTTGAATTTTCCAAAATGTGAATATTCCCTGATCGTATACGCAATTGACAACGCACCGAAATCTCTCGCCTAACACAATGAACATAAGGAGCTCTGCAAGTCATTTCAAAGATGATGTTTAACTGTCACCTCTGATCAGCATGTACATCTTAGGCAATTGTATCCATTCCCAGTGCAGCTGTGCTGTTGAAGGTTTGAAAATAAAAAGTGTGAAAAAATGAAGTGAAAAGAAATTAAAGGAATAAAATAATATGCTTGTAGTCACTTTCATAAATGTAAAAATGCTTGAATATCCTGAAAAAATAAAAAGTACCAAATTGAATCCTTTTGAGATCAGTTTTAGATGCCAGAAACATTTTTCGTCTTAAGTTATTAAATGCCTGGTTTAACCATTTTGTAACCTATTGTAAATTGTAAACATTTCTTATGCCAAGTACCTAATTTCATAATTTAGTTACCTTGAATGAATTCTTCTTCTTCTTTTTTTTATGTTGTCATGACCATCATTCATTTTTGTTTATAACAGAAATTTAGCCTACAAATTCTAATAACACAAAACTGATATCAAACAGAGTTTATTTATTATATCACTGAAATCTTCACATTGTAGTTCAAAAAACCAAGCTTAAAACATTATTACATTTACAAAATATTTTAATAACGTACTATCCAATTCCATTAAATTTCTTCAAATTATATGACCTCACTGACGAAAATAAAAAAGCGACGTTCATATTGCTCTTTTAGAGCATTAGGATTTATCAACATGTCTGAGCTGAGTCACCATATCTTAAAATAACTAATAAATATTGCTCTATCATTATATTCTTGTTTAAGAGGTATATTCTGACGCTTTGAGAATACAAATAAGATTTTTGTTTTTAATTTGTTGATATAATCTATTTTGAAAATCTTTGCTAAAAGCAATTAGTACAATACAACAAAATAGGATAAAAACAATCGTTTGATTTTACGGAAGAAATAATACAATTTATAAAAATTCACAATGAAAAAGTATTTAAAAGTGTAACTATTTCTTCTATTCTCAGATTCTGAATTCACAAAGGTCCAAAACACTTAGTCTGATGACTAGAAATTTAACTTTTTTAACCATCAAAAAAAGGATGAGAAAAAAATATGTACAAAAGTTTAATGCCTATGCAACTTTTCTTTCTGATCACATACCATAATCTTTGGTATAAATAGTTACATGTCATGAACAGCAACTACAATAATTCTACACATCATAAAAGAGGGAGGCCAAAGGATAGCGTATACTGAACGCTAACAAACTGCAAATCACCTAAAAAAAACAGCAGCATTTTTATAATCAATATATAATTAATGTAGATAATAATGAAATAAGCTATGTCTATTTTAATATTTTACAGACCTGGAAAATAAGTAAATATTTTGTTAGGACCACTTCTCTTATAGGACCCAAAAGAACAATAAAAAAATTCAAAAGGGTGAAGTTATTGCACTGCACCCATTTTTCAGAATCTTCTTTATAGTATTCTTTCCAGTGAATTAACCTTAGTTTCTTCAAAATACTAAGGCAAATAATCCCTGTTACATTCAGATCTGATAATTTAAATGTAGTAGTGCTGATTTCCAATTTGTCAGTCTGAGGATTATATCTAAAAACAAATAAAAATGCTACACATTTGTAAAGAAATATCAAAAATAAAATTGACGCTGAGAATCTTTTTTGTACTTAAAAAATTTACAAATACCTGGGTATTCGATGTCTTGGGCAAGGTACCAATCGAAATAACTGAGGCACTGAATACAGAAAATTAATTACTTGAGGAATGAAAAACAGAAGCATGGTTTTGCTGAAATGACCCAAAATTCCTACAACTGCAAAAGTCATTCCCGAGAAGTAGCAAAATGTATCTCCCACAAATACCCTTGAAGGATACCTGAAACAATTAATGAGTGGAAAAACAAGTTTACACTGACGAAACTTTACAAACATGAACCAAACATGATAATACATGGTTTGTGGTACTATCTGAAAGATGAGATGATGACAACACTGGTAAAAACCAGAGACATAAATGATTAATCTAAAATTAAATTTTTTCATAAATCAAAGACCAACTTAACATTATAAAGCTATAAAAACAAACGTTTATTGGATCTTGATATGACAACAGCATAATTAACTTCATTTCAATTACTGAAACATTTAATTTAATTTCAAATATATTGATAAGTAAATAAATGTAAAAAGGAAGAAAAAAAATCGGTGCAGGTTCCTGAATCATTTAAATGGTGAGTAACAGTAAGATGTTGCTATGGCAACGGGTATCACGTTGCCGCGGGTAATGCTACGCGACACGCGTATAGATAAATTGAAAATAAAAGTTTTCATTGCATCCTAAGAACGAATTCTGCAGCTTAGAAATGTGTGGTAATGAGAAACATTCTCAAGAATGTTTTGCTTTGAAGCCACCTGGAATGACGTGGGTGTTGGCCGGAATTCGCGCATGCGTCTCGCGGTATTTTAAGCCTCGCCGGCGTCGCCAGGGCCTGGCCTCGCCTCGCCCAGCCTGATTAGTTCGCCTTGTGAACGGACGGGCGATTCCGGGGGTGCGAATGATTCTTTCGACGTACTGAGGTTATAAGTCGAAGTATATAGTTTCGTCGCGGGGACAGAGACCTCTCCTGCAATGACACAGCCAACATGTTATGTGCGCAAATGACGGGAACTGCTCTTATAACCTGGCTGTTTCCAAACACCTGAGAAACGTCAAGTAACTTACTTAAGGAATGGATTTTGGAATATCTTCTGTCACTTCGTAATTTTTAGAAGTGAAATTGCATATTGAACGTGAAATTTATGCATCCAAAATCTCATTTCACGTAATCACTGATGTATTACAAACTGGATTACAAATTGCTAATTCTTTGGATGTTATTATTGATACAAGTATTGTTGGTAATCTTCTACTTTGTAATGGCCCCATCATCGTTTGAACAGCTAACAACTGAAGCAGACCCTGATAATGGTAAGAACTTGCATCCAGTGAAATTTATAGTGACAGAGACAGGAAAATATTCTTCTCAGAAAATAAATATCCCAAGATATAGAACCGAAGTTCAAAGTATTACTTTGGAAACTTCTGAAGTGGGACATTTTGTGACACTTAATGGAACAGTTTGCTTTATCCTTGGCACTGATGTGGAGTACATGAAAAGACTGAAAGGATTTGCTTTAAAGTGCGAGTGCAAACAAGGTTGGCATGGGAGAGATTGTGGTCAACCAGAAGTTGTATGGCGAGCGTATATTGCATCACAGCAAAAAATCTCTCCTAAAAAGAGAAAAAAACCTCGTCGTTTGATTCATGCATTTTCTATAATAAACCTTGAAATAACTCTAGTTGAGATAAAGATTCGTGAATTATCAGATGTGGTTGACCTCTTCATAGTTTGTGAGTCAAATTATACTGAAACTGGTGAAGAGAAATCACTCTATTTTCAGAACAAATTAAGAAAAGGTTTCTTACATGACATACAACATAAAATTCTGTATGTACCAGTGGAGATATATAAAAACAATGAAGCACATCTACAAACAATGAAGAAGGAGCTATGGCTTCGAGGGAAACGAGCTATCAATAATTTACGAGATGATGATATGCTAGTTCTAATGGATACTCATGAAATACCAAATACCAAAGCCCTTCTATTTTTTAAACTTTATGACAGTTGGCCACAACCTGTGGGATTTAGACTCCGTTGGTCAGTATATGGTTTCTTCTGGCAGCATCCCAAGAAAACAATAACAGCACCTGGAGCCTGGTCTGTACAATTAATGGAAGATGATTATCACAGTGATCTATCTAAAATTCCCACTGGCGATGAGGCATTAAGTTTTGGTCTGGTTATAGGAGATCTTAATCATTATGGTGGATGGTACTGTTCATGGTGTTTTCATCCGCAAGATGTGGTTTTGGCTTTACAAGGCAGCAAGGGGAACCCTGTGAAGTGGAACAAAGTTGACAAGAAAATAGATGCCAATTCTATCGAGGAACATATAGGTTCTGGCTTGTGGTTAGACAGTACAACAATGCTGGTTCGTAAATATCAATACGGAGATCCATATTATGCGCCACAATATGTGCTCAATAATTCATGGAAGTATGACTTTTTGTTGACAAATTTTTATGCACGAAACGACTACAATTAACAGTAGAACAATTTTATAATCCATCAATATGGATTCAAAATACAATAGAAAAATATGCCATTTAATGATATTGGCATGACAGATATACAGGCATTTCATATTGCACTTTGTTTCCCATAGAAAAGGAGAGTGAATTAATTTGTTTTCACATTATCCTCTTGTTTTATTGAAACTTCGTTAAAAATCAAATTATTGTTGTTCAGTAACTGTGATATGTGGAAGTGTTAAGGTTGTGATAGCATGTAATGTATGGGAATGTATTAGTTCCTTACAGTAGTTCTTTTCACAAGGGAATGACAAGAATGGAACTCGATTTTGCAGTATCCAAAATGATACCCACTTGATGCTCTTGACAGAATACTATCATACGTTTCCATTTTTGTGCCTTGATGTTGACTTCAATGGCATTGGTGCTTCCTTTCAAAGCAGTGGCCAAAAGTGAGAATTAGCCTTCCAATTCCCTAATGTACCTGTGGTCACTAAATCCAGTACTACTATTTATTGTATTCCCTGAGCTTGTGTAATATTTTAATGTGTTGCTTCTCATGCATTAGAAATTCAAATACGAATTATTTTTACCTACAATGCAGTAATGGCCTAGGCCCTAATATTGAATTTGTTCTTCTCTTGTATAATATTGTATATTCCTCAAGAGTGCGAGACAGAATTCCAGGAGTTTTGTTTTAAAACTACGTTCTTGAAAATGTAGTGAAGTACTCTCAGTCATGCCAATACAAAAAACTAACTTAATTTTTTATGAATTTGACACAAAATAAAAATTGATTAAGAAAGTTAAATAACGTGTATTAGAACAATTGCTTAACATGTTTTGTGGTGCAATGTATTGAGTCAACTTTTTTCTAGAACCAAAAAAATCATATCAGTACTTGCAATATGCATCATTCAGTAACAATCTTGTACGTTTTTAAACATTGTTCATAAAATAAAATATTTGTAAGTTACAATATGTATTCATTTAAACATTTCCCCTAAGATGTTTTTATTGATACTTGTTCTTCTCATGTTCACATGAAAATAATTTGAAATCCTACATTACTTGACTGTTCAGCAGAATCTTAAATTTTTTCAATATCACATGCAAAAATATTCTTTAATAAAAACAATTTAAAGAAAACTTCTTTTGCACGCATTTGCCTCCAAAACCTCATTTTCAGCATGCAAGTTAAGAAAAATAAAGACTTTATTAAGTATCTGAGACTTTCAGTGTCCACTTTGGCATTAGGAGTACCAAAGATGCAATTTAACAAAAAAAGTGACAAAGAATTTAAAACAATTTGTTGTGCTTCAAGATGACACCTCTATTTACCCGAGTGCCCTTTTAATCTTCTTACAATTTTCTTCAAAATTTCTCTTTGACATTATTTTCTCTCATGCCTATTATCAATTTATTCATTCCCTGTATAAAAATGTTATAAACATCAAAATAAACAAAAAGAAAAATTGTGAAATTCTTTAAATGCCTGTGAAACTTATTTTTTTTCTTATGGCTAGGAAAACCGATTTTGTTATGCAGAAGTTGCTAATATCCAATTAAGAAGTGCAAGGTTTACGGAATGAAAAACTAATTCGTATTCCACAAACAAAAACCCTTTTGAATATTTTATATTCAAATATAAAATAGTTCAGCCCCATTTTACATAGTCATTTTGACATCAACTACCAGCCTCAGGAGCATAGGGTTTGGAGTAGAAGCCAAGAATGCACAATAAAACGCTTTGTATTTCAATGTTAGAGTAATGCATGGAAGATTCCATTGCGATTGGCTCCTCAAACCACCATATCAACCATCAACCTACGCACAATCATTTACCCCACCACCTTTCATTCAAAAGGCGAAAGACAAACCACCTCATGATCATCTGTTCAGGAAGAGAGTTATAAAAGTGCTTCCTCCGTCGCTGATGCTTAGAAACTTGCCCCCAAGTATCGATTCTAATTTATTTTTAAGATAATATTCTTATACTCCAGCGCAAAAAATCATTAATGTAAGCAACAAATTTTAAAAGGAGAATTATCAAATTGATAAAATGGAATACATCCTAATCTAATTTAATTGACAATTCACTGGGAATCACTTCACACAATGCAGAAGGATTTTTCAAATGAGGTTGTGACCTTTCAGATACCAAGTAGAAAGATTATTCCAGTTATTCTAATAAAAGTGTAGCGAAAAGCTTTCTGTACTTCCCCTTTTTGCAAATGACCCTCTTCCAAAGCAAATGGTCTACTCCTTCTGCAGCTCTTTTCTTCCATTACAATTTTATCGAGTCTGCAGCAGAGTTACCCCATGGAACCAAAATATTCACAAATAGAGTAACGGTTACAAGATTTGCTTCCAATTTTAAATCACAGGTACTTCCTGTCGCAAAAGTACATTTTAAAATTAACATTCCACTTACGTTAACCTTCTCCTAGAATCCTCTGCTGGTCGTCCATAACTTCTAGTATTATCCTTGTCAAGTGCCCAAATTAAAGACATGGAAGTCCTGTTCTACTCTTGGATCCTTAAGTCTGGATGTTTTACAACGCTTCTCTCTTCCAAGAACGATCCTGATACTTTCAAATACTGTGTTCTGATTTGTTTTCCCGTTTCTGATAGTCTTAAATAAAATGAAAAGCAGCAAACTTTACCCTCTCAAGACGGGTAAATGCTTCTGGATATTTCAGTCATTCTTTCTTTCTTAATTCTGTCAATTTGAACTTAAAAATCTAGTTAAAACACATCACTCGCCAATGTTAAACTCAAAGTAAGTAGTTTACTGGAATATTCAACCCTCAAAATGCTTTATATGAGAATTAAATAAAAATGAAGTCTATTTTATGGATTTTAAGAGATAAAAATCTGTATTAAAGGTATGGCATGCACAATCACTTCCAAAATTCATGTACATGGTAACAATCAAGGTAATCTCCTGATGAGAAGTTTAAAACTAGAATTGTGCTTTGAATTACACATGTACATTCTGACACTCAAAATGAGATGCACCTTTCTTCTGGTCTGAAATATTTGGAAAATAATTTGTGAATTCAAGATTATATGGAATGATTTAATTAATTATTAATGTTATTCAATTATGTCAAAAAATAGAACACACTGTGATGTTTGAAGAATATACCTCTTTACTTGTCAGCAAGCACTATGCACATCACGAAGCACATCAAGAACTATTTGAATGGGGTGGATTACGAGGATTTCAAGGAGGCAAGAATATAAATATGATATATTAAATACAAAATATTAACTTAATATCTAGTTTTTGCTCCTCAGGTGACTCGTGAAGAGTGTGCTTTCTGGGATATGTGTCCAGGATGGTTTTCCCGTCAGGGCAAAAATACAGCTGTAAGATTCTAATGTAATGCGCCTTCGTTTCTATTGATGTGTGATGAAAGAACAGCTCACGGAGGGCTAAATAAGCTCGCATACTCGCCCCATCAAGTCTTAAGGTGAAAAACAGGTTGGACTAAATTAATACTAAAAAGAGGCAATGAATCAGCATGATCTTGAGAGACCAGTGATGTGGTATGCAGGGATGGTGGAGGAGAAGTGAAGTTCTGTATGCTTCAGATTCATAAAAAAGTCAAATAGGTCACCATAACATGCAGCATAACTAATAGAAAATAACAGTAAACCTGAGCACAAATGAAAATGTTGCTCTTTTGGCGCTTGTAGTAGTGCTTGTATGAAAAATGTGTGTTTAAAAAATTGAGTATCAATTGTGAAAAGGGCTTCTCACACCTTACACATAGCGCAAATTAAAAAATTAGGGTGGAGAAAAAGACCCAACAAGAGCAGGAAAGGGAAATGGAATCAAAAATGGGTGTAATTTCTCTTCAAGAAAGCTTTACAGAAACTTTACACACCACTTAAAAAAAATAATTATAAATATGTGTATATATATTCTGAATTAACTGAGGTAAAAATGGTTAAAAATTAATTTGTGATGAAAGACAACAAATCTATACAATTAACTTACCAGTTGTATTTTAATAGCCCCAGTGAAGTTGCTATGTAAGGAAATATAAAGTATAAAGAGAAACGGTGAGCCTTCCACAAGTCACCATACAACTCCAGTAAATTGAAAATAGCAATTGACATAGCTATTATAACAGATTGCCCAGCTTCCAAACCATTAACTCCAGCTAAAATATTGATAGCATTTGTACAGAAAACGGCTAACATTCCCATATACACATAGTAGAGCAATCCTGCAAAATGATTTTTTTGATTTATAAATCTATACAATTTATACATACATTTACAAAAAGTTCATAAAAATTATTACCTAAGTTAATGGAAAACCCAAACCAGCTTCTGAATGGTTTGGGAATGATAACAGTTGTGGAATTAAAATTCACATAATACACCATTAAAAGAGGCAAGGAAGCTACAGTGGGCAGCAGCAATTTATGCCTCCATTTCAAATCAAGGACATCATCAGCAAATCCAAGTAACAACATGCAGCAGATTGACAACAAGGCAGCAATCAGTTCCACAAACTACAAGTAATACACATCTTCTTAAACATACCACTCTCATTCACTTTAATTTCAGAAATTATTGAACTTACATGAATAATAAGTTTTAGAAACTAATGAAACACAATGTCTAAATAATGACTTCCATTGACATGTATGTATTCAGTTCTTCAACCTACCTCATCGTGAGGAAAATCAGCATTTTCAAATATTGAGGAACTGAATGGTACAGGTATAAAAAGAAATAATGCAATAAGGAAGATGCATCCAGTAACCACACCTATTGCTTCTGGACTGTAAGATTAAAATATTGTTACAATAATAAGTTAATCTCCCCCACAAAAATGCGTAATCTATACTTACACTTTATCCTTCTTAGTTTTACTAAGGTCGATTCCGTACAGATTTGCTTTGATGAACATGCCCTCCAACGGAGGGATAATTCTGACGACCACTAAATAAGCTATGCATGACATAAGCCCATTGACAACCAAAGTAAACATTCTGAGTATATTTAATTCAATATGCAGATCAACTTCGAACTTGAGGCGATTTTTACTTTCTAATCAACATCAACGGAGGCAACCTATACATAAGTGTCTCGAAAAATGTGTATTACACGTCACTGTAACCCACGTCATATTTTCACCGTGGCACAAAGTTTAGGCACGTGAACTCGCAGAACATGTCATTTGATCAACCATTACGAACCTTTCACCGACTCAAATATTGTTTTGTCACATATATATATATATAATCATGCCAACAGCATCATGGCACACAAGAGTCGGTTTATGTAAGTTTATCCATCGGGTTTGTGAGGACACGCGGTCTGATGGCACGCAGCCGGGATCGGACCCCCTTTCGCGGTTGGCTTTGCACACACACTTCGAACTTCGCACTGCGAGTCATCTGCGAGTGTTACTGCGTGCTACTGCGCTGTGCGGCACTGCGAAGTTCGCAGTTATATTACACTTGTATGTTTAGCTTTTGACGCGTGAGGGACTGTCTGAACGATGAAATATCTCACAGTATTTCATGTCTTTCTCGGTCGTGCCGTTAGATGTCGCATGATCGCCAGCACTGCGTGATACAGTTGAAATCATGCGACATCTAGCGGCACCATCGACAAAGATGAGAAATGCCGCGATTTACTCCCTCGTAAAGACGGGCTCTCACGTGCCATGACATACACACCCAACTATTTTTGAACGATGACCTTGCTTCCACCTCTCTGGCACAATAAACAGTTGCAGGCAAAAGCTCGCAGAGAGCATTGCTGACATTCTAAATTCATCTCACTGGCGCGAAAACAAAACTATTTTCTATTGAAGAACTTCCATGATTTTCTCCAAAAAATCTAAAAAACAAAAACGAAAGAGGTGAAGATCCGTCATAGAAGATACTCCAACACAAGGAAAAAGAAACTAAATAAAAAAGATATTCTCGGCGAAAACCGAAGAAAAGAAGACGAATCTTCGATACAGAAATATTTGATTTAGAAGAGGTAGAAGAAGAAATAAATAAAAGGAATATCTCATAGAAAAATTGAAAATGCTGTTCACCAATGTGTCATGGATTATTATAGTTCAGATGATATTAGCCGTATCATGAGTGGAAAAATAATTTTATATCAATGAGAGAATATGGGGGAAGGTTCAAAACAAAAGAGGCTTATAATGAGCAATCTGAAAAAAAAACGACATATTAAAGCCCTGTTTCCGCATCAAAGTGTCAGCTTTTCAAAGTTCGCTGAATTAAGAGCGAAACACTGCATTTTAACAGGAGCCAACGGTACACATACAGTGTGTCTTTTTGCATCCCACGAAAAGGTAAAGTTAATGTTTGACGGCAGAGGCCTCGCAAAGTTAATAGCAGATGATGTTAATGTATTGAAAGATTTCACCGGTCGACACGATTTATACAAGGGCCCGCTTTCATTCTCGTGTCCAAAATCCCGGGGAATCGGCGAGTGATTTCATTACGGCGTTACATAATCTCACCAGAAATTGCAACTATGGTAATTTGAAGGATGAGTTCATTCGCGACAGAATTGTGATCGGTGTCGCAGACAAAAAACTCTGAGATTTAATGCAAGTAGACGACACTCTTACCCTCGATAAAGCCGTAAAGATGATAACACAATCTGTGGAGGTTACAAAGCAAGTCGAAAGCCTTCAACAACCTACTGTAAATCGAATCGTAACACATAAAAGAAACTGTACTAACACTAAATTCACAGGTAGTGAGACGAAATCTGTCGATAAGCAAAACAAATCTGATAAGCGACCAACCTCAATTCCAGGCAGACGAATAACTGCCAATGGCCGTGAAAAGCACGAGCGTAAATCATGTCCAGCCAAAAACGCTATTTGTTACAAATGCGAAAACAAAGGCCATTGTTCTAATAGCTGCAGATCCAAGAAAAATGTGTGCACGATAACCGAAGATAAACTAGAGCTAGACGTGCTACACACTATGCCGGAAACAGAACATGGAATAAACCTGCAGGGAAGGTAACAAGTCCGGATAAAACAGAGTTGGAAGTCCAAGGAATTGAGCAGGCCACTACTACATCCATAACCTTCATCAGCCATTATCTACTACATCTATAACGTTCATCAGCCGTTATTGGAGAAATACGTAGCAGTAAAACTAGGGTTGGTGAAGAGGATCGACGCGGTCTGCAACGATCGCACTATTTCACTGGATGATGTAAAGTCGAAATTTCCCGAGTTATTTGATTGTATCGGGAAAATCCCCGAGAAGTGCAAATTGACAATGAAACCCGATGTAAAACCTGTCGCGGTGACTTCTTTTAGACGGGTCGCCATTCCCCTCATCGATCAGGTCGAGAAAGTTCTACAGAAGATGCTGAAGGAGGAAATAATTTCACGATCCACGATCTTCTTGAAGATGAAGACCATTGGAGAACACCATTTAGAAGGCTAGCAGTCCGAGGATTTGCGTCGACCTTAGGGAGCTGAACAAAGTCGTACAAAGAGAGTATCATCCTATCCTAGATATCCACTACACTTTGAATCGAATCAAGGACACTAAGTATTTTTCGAAATTGGACGCAGACTCAGGTTACTGTCAGATAGTTTTATAACAAGAATCTCCGCTACTCACTACGTTTATAACACCTTTTGGAAGAACCGTCTACCTTTCGGAATAACATGTGCTCTAGAACTTTTTCAAAAGAAAATGAAGGAAGTGTTGAAAGACTTCGAGAGTGTCGTGTGTCTGATGGATGGCATTCTGGTATACGGGTCCAGCAGAGAAGATCACAATAGGTGACTGGAAAGAATACTCTCCAGACTGAAAGAAGCTAGGATTACTCTGAACGAGAAGTTGGCCATCAGCGACACTTCTACTGACTTCCAAGGACATATTGTTGATGAAGCAGGAACTCGCAGCCATCCAGATAAGGTGAAAGCGATTGTGAAGATGGACGCACCAAACGACGAGAAGGGACTCAAGATAGGCATGGTTAAATTTTTAGCAAAGCCAAACCCCGACAAGGCTAGAATTTTGTCTCCACTTCAAATGCTACTGAAAGAAGATATGGCCTTCTTGTGGGGACCTAGGAAGAAGCCTTTGCAAAAGTGAAGTCAATGTTGACTTCTGCCCCCTTCTGGCACGAATCGACCCGAGAAGAAAAACTACAGTGACAGCGGCTGCATGTCGTACGGGATTGGAGAGGCGCTGCTACAGGCTCAAGAATATGGAAGCATTAAACCCATTGTCTATACATCAAAAGTACTATCGGGCACTGAGAAACGCTATGCACAGATTGAGGAGGCGGCCCTAGCAATTACTTCTGCCTGTTAAAAATTTGCAGACTACATCACAAGCAGCACGATTGAGATAGAAACCGATCACAAACCCCTTATCCCAATCCTTACCACTAAGATGCTAGACAATTTATCCCCCGGACTACAAAGGTATCGTATCCGTCTCATGTGTTTCGATTACACTGTTGCACATGTTCCAGGCAAAGACTTGGAAACAGCTGATACCCTATCTAGGAAACCAATAGCCCACATTGCGCGGGATGAACGTCTGTAACCACAGATCCACAAGTAACTGGCGTTATTACACACCTCCCTGTGTCATCTGCGAAACTGTCGGAAATTGTCAAGGAACAGAATGAAGATGCTGAACTATCGGCGGTACGTGTCTACATCTGCAATGGATGGCCCAAAAGAGAGACTTTTCCGGACAACCTGAAGCCGTTCTGAGAGAAGAGATGGGACATCACGTGCCAAAACGACCTCTTGCTGCACGAATCGAAAATAATAATACCAAGCAAACTACGAGCCAGTATGTTAGATAGGATACACGAGAGACATTTAGGTATCACGAAATGCACAGCTCGTGCAAATCAGACTGTTTGGTGGTCCGGAATGTCAAAACAAATTCGAATGAAGGTAGACAATTGTGCTGTCTACGCACAACATCGGACCAACCGACACTAACCTCTGATTCAGATCGAACAGCCTAGTCGCCCTTGGCAGAAAGTCGGTATGGACCTATTTAAGGTGAACAACACGTGGTAGCCCATCATCATCAACAGGTATTCAAGGTATCTCGAAGTCGTCAAATGTGAAAATTTAACAATGGAGACCATCATCGCAATTATATCTGATATCTTCTCGAGGCAAGGTATCCCGGATGAGATTCTGATCGACAACAGGACCCAGTTCCACCTCTTTCGAGGATCCCGGTTTTTCAAGAAGCTTCAGGAATCTTACGGTTTTCGATTGATTACAAGACGTCCAGGATACTCACAATCCAACGGCCTCGCTAAAGCAGGGGTTAAAATAGTCAAGAATATATTCAAGAAGGATAAAGGCACGTACAAAGGCCTGGTAACGTATCGTAACACTCCGTTGGAGAACGGATATTCACCAGCAGAACTTTCAATAAGTCGAATATTGAAGGACTTCTTACCGGTGGTTCCAATCAACCTGGAATCAAGTTCAGGAATATTACAATTCGTCAAAAGGTGTTAAACAGATTCCAGAACTTATTACTGGGACCAAAGACTTCATCAAAGATGCTGAGAGATTCTGGACGGAGATACGAAGGGCCGAGCAACCTCGATCATACATTATACAAACTGGCACAAACCGAGTCCGAAGAAACAGATGCACCACATTCCCAGTTAAAGCCAGAAGACACCGAAGAGATAATCTCGCCACCGAGATCAACAACACCCATGGAGAGAACATGCGACGGAACTCCTGACAATACACCAGCGACGAGAACAGCCGATCAAGAAGATGGACACCCGCCAATGGGAGGTCAACGAACTCGGTCAGGACGTTTGTCAAAACCACCACAACGTCTCAATCTTTAGTCTCAAAAGAGGGAGATGTTGTGTGATAGACAAAGGGCGCCACCTTGCGAGCGCGCCATAAACAACCGTGACGGCCTGACGACTTCAGGCTGCTCGACACACAGACACCACAGACACTGGACGCCGGACATGCGGTGTTCACGCATGCACATGGCTTATAGCCACACGCGCCGCCTCCTCCCCTCTCTGCCCGGCCGCCGGGACCCACCACCTATTCTTCCCGTCGTATGTCCTTTCTCTGTGGCATTGACCTTTCTCTTTAAGGCCATTATCCGCAAATCTGTCTCTTTGACACCGCACCGCCGGCCTTGCCACTCTCTTAGGCGCGACGCTGTGTCCTTCAAACTACTTGTTTGGTAAGTGAGGCTTACCACAGCTAATTTGCGCGTTCCGCGAAGTGCAGCTACCACCAGCCAGCGGCTCGGCCGTAAGGGCACCGCGTTGCCCCGCCCGTGATCTTAGAGGTTTCGGCAACCCTTTCCACGGTGGTCGAGAGAGCCCCCCTCCGCCACGCCATTGATTGAGATGAGAGACGCAGAGTTGGACATGAGGGCGAGGCACGTGAGGACGGGACTTGTGATAGGAGCGGAGTGGACGTGACATGATACAGCATTCAGGACCACAGGCTGCCCGCATCGCCAATGGCCGAGGCTAGGGCCGCCCATCTCGGCATTTCTTTGTCCACATCTCATGAATTGGACCACGATAGCGCGC